GCATTTTAAAACATTAATGGTCAACTCAAGGCTTCCATCAAAAATTCCTGTAGCCAAGCTCAAGACACTGGGCTTCAATACAGGAACTTATCGAGACTGATATTCCCTGGCAATTGTCTATGTGTGTACTCCACACTACGTGTTCAAGTGGATTGCCACATATTAATTAAGGCATATCTTAAACAATCTTGCATTAGAAAAGAGGGGGGGAAAAAAAACTACATGAAAAACATGATGATAATTAAGCACTGTAACAGGACTGACTACCTAGATAGCCCCTGAAATCCCTCTTCAGTGGAGATTTTAGAGGTGTTAGACAGACATTATTATCTGTGCTTGCAAAACCAGACCACGGAGGAAACAGAGGAGAAGTCACTTCCAGCCTTATATTTCTGTGAACGTATGTTTCAGAGAAAAAAAAAAGAAAAAGGGAAAAAAAACCACCCCCAAACAAATAAAAAAAGCAAGCAAACAAACAACAACAACAACAAAACAATAAAAACCACCCCACAGAAATCAGTTTGCATACTGAAATGTCAGTCTTTTGGAAAACAGTTCTTGTATTTCACTTATTTTTAAAATTCAAATTCAAGCAGTGAGCAGCTCCACTAAGTCTACAAGCTTAATAAAATTAATACTTGCTGCCTGTAAGCTATGCACAGATTCCAGTCCTACCCAACACAAAGCATCACCCAGCCTGTTTTATTCAGGGCATAAACATTTTGTTCCGAATGAAACTTTACACTCAACTCACAGCCCTGGTATAAAGTTAGAGCCTGCCCAGAAAATGACAGCACATTTTCATGGCACAGCCAGACCGAGTCCAAACACAATACAGCTCCAGTGCCATGCACTCTGCTGTTAGGAATAAAACATTTCTGAAGAACCCAACACAGCAACTTTCATGTCTCTTTGGTGAGAAAGGCGGAGGAGAGTGGTATCTGCCAAGGAAACAATGCCACTGACTACACAGACTACTGAGAAATACTTAAGGGAGTATAAAAAGGAGGGGGGGACAACAATGTAAAAGTCAACAAATTATTTTTTAGAGAAATAAGTGCTAGAGAGCTGCTATCAAAACAACCACTTCAACAAACTTCACCATAGGAATAACTATAAGAAATACAGTTATGCTTCCCTCTTTGTCCAGGGTGAAGCGAGGTTTGCCTGCTTTCACCAGAGAAGGGCAGGCAGACAATTCAGCCAGCCTTTTATATGTGGTTCCTTTGAGGGCAGAACCATTCACACTGAAGTGAGGCATCTGTGTAGTGTCTCGGGGCTTGAAATTCGGGTTCAAGGAACGAGCACAGCTTCCATTTCCTCACGGGCTGTGCCCACACTGCATGGTGCAGTGCCCAAGCACTGAAGTTTGCTTGGGCACTGGAACTGGCTTAGCTGAAATATCACAGAGGTTCACACAGGCTGATACACCTAATGGAAAATGGGCTCTTCTCAGAGAGGTGAATGGTTCTGTGCAGGATCCTGGGCTTTCTTTACACAAGTAGGCAGCTAATGAAGCCCCAGTCTGGCACACAGGCTGTGCTTCTATGTGAGGTTATCCATCAGGTATACCAGTGTGCTCCCCAAGAAAACAGCTTTGTTTCCATCTCCTAGGTTAGTATTTCTGAGACAGTTCCCAAGACAAACTGAAAAATAAATTTAATTTTTAGATTTCATCTGAATAAGCCATAAACAGTGGGCATAGCTTTAGTAAATAAGTAGAAATTGGGGTGCAGATAGGTTTAAAAATCCACTTTTATACACAAGATGCATAGAGTCAGTTAGTAATTCAAAACATTGAATTAGAAGAACTGAGTTGGATAGCTAAAGGAGGCTTTTCCTCATGTCACACAATTCATATTTCAAAAAAATTATGTTGAGATACTAAAGTAACTGGCAAGACAGAATTAGATAAAGATGCTTCTGATCGCTCATTTTGATTAATAATTAAAATGATCATTAAAAAAAAATATTTCAATCTCTATCCAATCCCTTACACACTTTAATTTTTACAGCCCTGATGAACCACACAGACACAGATTTATGGAAATATTCCCAGAGATAAAACCATATTCTGTTTGCTTTAATTTTCACTTTATACTTCCCACAAACAATTCACACATTAGACAATGGAATGCTGTCTACCCTGGACATGTATAAAGAAGGAAAAGTGGTTTAGTATTGCATATCACAGAACACAAGCAAGTGAAATGAGGAACGATTATATCTTTAATATCTGGTCCGTATGAACACCCAAACAAAATTCTTTGGCAATACTGGGGAAGAGCTCAAAGGTTCACCAACCACCTCTTCAGGTACAAACCCCCATGATTAACACATCAGAATACTCTACAATTTATAGGCATATAAATATTTCTCACAGTTCTAAGCAAAAGATTTAGAAATAGGTATTTCAAATAATTTGAGAAATAAAGAACAAAGTGGTACAAACCATTTTTGTCTAATACTACTTTTTAAACCTTTGCCTAAGACTATTATCAGTAAAATGTCCTCACTGTAGCATTTCTCTTTACAAGGACTATTACATGATTTAAACACAGAGCTACCACATAACTGTTAAGATCTGTATTTTATGAAGGAAGCCAGTATTATTTTCCTCCTAATAATCAGCAAATATTACTGAATCTAGAGCTAGTTTTTTAATTATATCTTCAATTACAAAAGTGAAGGAAAAACCACCTTCTTTCTTCATTCATATTCTAGATTACGAGTGGAACTATCATCTCCGGCCCCACTGTAAGATTTTTTTTTTCTGGTCATCCTCTTTATGCATCTTTTCATCTTCCCTTTCCCGTCCATACTAAGCCCAGGTCCTTGTGGAGCTCTCTACAAAGAGGTCCAGATATTATCCTCCAGACAGAAACTTAAAAACCTGTTATGAAAATACTTTCCCTCTGATGTCATGATTTTGCATTTATAAACACTCAATTCTACACACTGCTGAGATATAGTATCCATTCACTAATCAGAAGTAAGAATTAATAGGGGGTTTCAAAGCTACAAAGGCAGCATTTTCACTCTGATGGGAGCATACAGTTCATACTTTGGGGGAGGGGAAGAGAAGAAAGAGTGTTGGCTCTTTCATGAACATAAAAGGGCAGAATTACACATTAGTGTAGCTTCCCCATGTATAGACATTTTTTTCTGAAATGCAGTGTAAACTTAAAATCAACCATTAGATTCTTTAACTACAGCTCAAATCATCCACGTAATTACTCTTACAGAGGATTATGGCCAAGGTTTTTTAAAACTAGAATTGTTAAAACTGCACAATTAAGAAATAAATCACAATGGGAAAATAGGTTCCTATTCACAAAACAACCAACCAGGCTGGCATCGTTAATACCCTTTTAGAAAGGTAAAAACCAGAACCGAAATACTGGGAAATGCTGTTGCCAGGTCAGAATTGAGGTGAATTGGCAAAACCGTGCAGATGGGCTCCTACCGCACCTGCCCAGCCCTTGGCCTGGTACAAATGCGTACTCGCTCCTTCAGTAACCCTTCTCCTTCATCAGGGCATTGAAGTTTTCACAAAGGGGAAAAAAAGCCTACACTTTTTTAAAAATGCATTTGAAAGAAAAGTTGAGATGCTGGGCATTCCTGATTCGTGTGTGCTTTAAAAACCAAGATTTTTGACCTTCAGAAGTCCCTTCCCCCAGCTAAAGAAAAAGAAAAGGGAAAAAAAAATAAAAACACTCCTCAGAAACTACCACAGAGAGACGCTGCAGACATCAATCTAAAATAATGGCAGTCAAAGGTCAGGATGATACAGGCAACATCAAGCTTTTCATTTAAATATCTTCCTGAAAGAGACCTCTTAATAAGCAGAAGCAAGAAAACCAGGGACTATCCAGTCAGTGATGAAAAAAAGTCATTTACAGGATTTTCTTAATAATGACACCAAATATCCTCAACTTTGACAAATAAATTTTAAGACCTCACTGAAATATAATATGCAAACTACCATCAGTTTGTTGGGTTATGTTAGCAAGATTCAGCAATTTTTTTTTTTACGGAGATTCGCTTATGAACTATACACAGCAGATTACAAAATAACACTAAAAAAAGCAAGCACTGCAAATTGGATCTCGATCGGTAAAACGACACAAAAGTCGTAGGAGTCTTCCAAAACTGCTGGAAAACGCATACTGCAAGAACAATTGGTATTACTGCCTAACAAAGCTGGGTAACACTCAGAAGGCTCCAACATGCTAATCTGTCACCGTGACAGAAAAGCAAAGGATGCCAGACCAATACACATCCCTCTTCCAGTACCCTACATATCTAACACTGAGCTTCCGAACCCAATAAAAAACAGGACTAGAGTGTCCAAAAATATGAGTAAGGATGCTCTTAGCATATCTGCTCCCAACTTCTTGTTATTAAAAAAAGAGTACTCTTCAAGATTTTTCAGCATTCCTCAACAGTGTTTTGTGTTATTGTTCTATAATCACAGCTACATTTTTGCTTCAGATCTCTCCTCCAAGAAAAAAAAATTACACATTACAGTAAGCCTGTTACAAAAGTGAAGCACATGTTTAAGGCCCATAGAAGCACCGATGCTGATAAAATTAAAAATGGCTGTGCCCGAATATCCCACAGCAAAAACAGGCACAGCTCCGCTGCAGATTAAAATATATATTAAAAATTCCCGCATTACCTTACAAAGGGCGAGGTATGCAAAACAAAAAGATTATATATATTTCCAAAACTGAAGTAAGTTATTAGACAAGAGATGCAGATCTAGGCAAAGCATACTTCTTCAGTGCAGGTCGAGTTCATTTACACAATAAAGCAGCATTTTATTCCCCGAGACACTTAACGTATCGGGATTTCAAAACTTCTATCAGGCTTCGCCGCTGAAATAGATGCACACCACTCCGTAAGGAGAGGAGACACGGATGTGCCCAAATACCAGCGGACCCCACCCCCTTCCCGCTGCCAAAATGGCCAGTTCGTTCCACCCAGTGGCTACTCACCAGCCGCAGTGCCGAGCAGCAGGGTGGCACTGGAGAGCAGGAGCACCAGCACAAGGTGCTGCAGTGAGGCAGGCATACCTGGGCAAGCCACGGTTCGAGCCAGGAGGAGGAGAAAAAAAAAAGGGGGGGGGGGAGGGAGGGTAAAACCCCCAAAAACCCGACGAGAGGAGATTCCTCCTGCTTTCACACAGCCTTCCTCAACTCTCTCGGTTTACAATCCCGCCTGGAAGGGCAAATGGCAGATGAGGGGAGCCGTCTTCGCTCTTACTCCATTACAGCCGCCTGCCTTCATGCCTGGGGCGCCGGCAGCGCTCGGCGGACACGGGGGAAGCGCCTGGCTCTGCCTCCCAGCCCCGAGGCATCTCCCCCGCCGGGGAGGACGGCGGCACGCTCCCGACCCCGCTGGGAACCGGGCTATTTCCCACGCAGCTTCACGACATCGAAGAAAGAGCCCGGTTGGGAAGGGAACATATCCAGACGCGCCCACAGCGGTGTCAGTCAGCGCGGCCCCCGCGGGCTGGCCCGGGCACGGAGAGCGAGCTACGGGCTCACGGCAGCGCCGCCTCCCATCCCGGCAAAGGTCTCTGTCCTCTGGCCGCCCCTCCTCGCTGCCTCACGCTCCGGGGAAGGCGGCGGCGAGACCCCCCGCTCTCACGGCGAGGGCTGCGGCTGCATCCCGGCCCATCTGCCTCCCGCGCCGGGCGGGCTCCTCCGCGCTGCCCCGGCCCCCGCCGCAGCACCGACGCCACCCCCGGCCACCCCGACAAAGGTGGGGCCCGGGGCGGCGAGGCCCCTCCTCGGCGTCTCCAGCTGCGAGCGCACCCGGCTGCTCTCCGCGGGCGAAGGCCCTTCCCCTCCTCCGCCGCCCGCCCAGAGTTTCCACAGCGCCGGGCAGCCCGGCCCGGCCTCCTCCCTCCGGTCTCGGCTCAACCTCTCCGCGCTGCCAGCGCCTTCCTCCCCCCGCGCCGGGCTCGCCGGCGAGGGGCCGCTCCGCCTCCTTCCCCTGCCCGCCGCCGGCTGCGGGTGGGAGCCGAGCGAGGGCCGGAGCTGCTCCGCCGCCCGCGCCCCCTCTCGCCCGCCCGCCCCAACAGCACGGGCAGCTCCAGACACAAAGGGGAGTCGCTGCCGCCGCCGGCCCGGGCGCCCGTCCCGCCGCGCCGCCCCCGCCGCCCGGCCCCGCCCCGCACCATAGAGGTGGCTCCAGGTAGGCAGAGCGGGGCCGCCCGGGCGGAGCTCCGCCGGGCTGCCGGAGGGGGCGCGGGGCTCCGGGCGCCGCCGGGGCGGAGGGCACCGCCTCGGGAAGGGGAGTTGGGATCCAGCGGCGGCTCCGTGAGAGGGGAAAGGCCTCGGCGGACCTTCCCGGGAAGGCCGCGGGAAGGCGGCGAACGGCCCCCCAGGCAGCCTGTCTGTCAGAGAGGCTGTCAGCAGGGAGGCGTGAGCTCGGGAATCACAAAAACCGCCTGTAACAAGAAAAAAGTGTTTAGCAGACTCTGAGATTGCATCAGCTTTGAACTCCGTGGCCTGCCTGTCAGACACCCCGGAGCTTCTGCCTCGACCTCTAGTTCAAGCCCCCGTTATCTTTGTCCCTGTGAGCTCCGCTACAAGCACTGGCCATACCACCTACTGCTCTCCCTCAGGGAACCCCAGCAAGTCACAGAATCAGTGAGGTTGGAAAGGCCTCTGGGATCATCAAGTCCAACCTAGGACCGAATATCACCATGTCAATTCGGTCACTAAAGTGCTATGTCCACTCTTGCCTTAAACACCTCCAGGGACAGTGATTCCACCACCTCCCTGAGCAGCCCATCCCAATATCTAATCACCCTGTCTGTGAAGAATTTCTTACTAATGTCCAACATAAAGTCCACCCAGCTCATACAGCTTCAGCCACCTGACTCTCCCAAGAAAAAGCATTATCTGCTTCTTAAATTAAAGAGATTTTATGATTTCAAAACAAAGATAAAGTCAGCCCACTGTGCTGTTTGTATGCTTTAACCTTTGCTATATTGCACAGGACTAAAGAGATAAATTGAGGCCAGCAGCTGATGGGAGAGCTGTGACTGGAACGTGCTGTCTGATGTTTTGGCCTAGCGAGGCTCTTTCAAACAAGTTTTACCAGCTGTAGCATAGAAAAAAGTTCTAAAGAACACCCTGCACACAGAAAGCACCTTCACATATGGGCTTCACCAAAGGTTTGATTATGGGAAATGCTTCTCTGTGCCAAAATTCCTTCACCAGTTTCAAGAATGGCGTACAAGGAATAGAAATTCAAAAATCCAATTCCACACCTCAAAATATTAAATGCTACTACATAAAATTTTGTAGTTGCAAGTAAGAGTTACAATTTTAGTGATAATAAAAGGTTTCGGCATAACTATTCCTCTTCACAAGCCATAAGAGGTGAAATAGGTGTAATCTGATTCTTTCATCATTAAGAAAATTAGTAAATAAATTCTAATAGCATTTTCGTCATTGTGATGCTTAGGCCAGAGAGCACGTTCTTTGACATTCCTAGGGTCAAGATGAATTTATATGGCTGATAGTTATAAAAATGTTTTTTAAAGTTTTCTACAATATCTTCACTTCCAATCTATGCAGATCTAACATGGATATTGGTGAGAGACAATAAAATATAGAATCCCAGATTGTAATTTGTATTGCCACTTTCCAGAATTGCAACCACATGTTAACCACAGTATCCTTCCTGTTATTTGTGGAATGTGAACTGTCAAGAAATAACCTTTAGAAGCAAAAAAAAAAAAACCAAAAAAAAAACCCCAAAAAAAACCCCCAAAAAACAAAACAACAAAGCAAAACCAACAGCCAGAACAATTTTTCCTCCAAGAGAGGAAAAAAACCCTCCACATTAAGTATTTTTTGCAGGCCCAAAATCCAGAGTTCTTTTCTGGTTCAGCAAAGACACCAAACTATGCAACACACCTTCTGCCCAGCTGAACCTGCCAATAAAAGAAGCAAGATCTACTTTGTTCAGAGAAAACAAGAACCTAACTATGTGTGGGTTGTACAGCGCTTTCCCTGTTTAGATGGTAAAAGAAAATTACTGTAATTGTTTATGACATGTATGAAAACCTTCTCACCCTGAAGTAAATGACAGAAGTCTCACTTGTTTTAATGGTTCTAGTTTTGGCTTATCAATTAATACCAGGAATTGTTGTCCACAAGAAATTGTACAAAAACATATATTCTGCCTTAAAATATCTTTCTTTTTTTCTCGCCACAAAATGGATTGGATTTTTGTTCCGTGTTTTTCCTGAAAAGAAGGAACAAGACATGCCATTTTTACTACAATTATTTCCTCTTAGTTTCACAAAAACCCCAAGCCTGATCAAGAAAACACCCTTGAGAAGGCTGTGGGGCTGTGAATCTGCTTCGCCTGAGCTTATATCAAGTCCTTGGACTAATCTCGCAGACTTGCAATCCCAGCAGTTTGCAAGAATTTCCCCTCCTTCCCTAACCTATTCTGAATTTTGCAAAAGATCTTCTCTGCAAGGGCCAGGTCCCTCCCAGCCCGGTGTGGCTGTGAATGCTGCCAAGAGCCGCTGGCCACGCACCGATGCCAGGCTGCAGAGCGGGAGCCACTGCACCCCTGTTTCTCTGGAGCTGGCAGGGCCGAGGAGGGGCTGACCCCTCCTTCACCACATGGATGTAGAAAGCGATGGCTACTGTCTAAGCACAGAAGCAGCTTCCTTTTCCCACGGTGGTGAGAGGAAATCAGAGATCTAAACTGTCACACTCAGGCTCACCCATTGTCATGTGCTAGGACAAGAACATATTTATAATCCTTTCTGTGGTATTGTTTTATCTGTAAGCTAGGATTTCACTAGCCTAATATCCAGCAACATCCAGTAAGACTTACAGGAAAGTACTCAGGATAATGAAAACTTGCAGAGCTGCAGCACAGTAAATCTCGTGCAGGTAAAAGTAGGAAACAAGAGAAAACATGTAAAATTTACCAAGATTTAAAAAAAAAACCAAAAAACAATCAACTTTCTGACTGAAGCACTGTATTTCCACCAAGAAGAACAATGAAACAACACTATTGAACTTAACAGAGACAAGACTGTTAAAAAGTAATAGGAGGAGGAAAGACCCTATAAAGTAGATGGTCTTTTGCAGCTGCTCCCAAGGCAGGCAGAGGCAAGGCTGCCAAGGAGCACATGTGGCAGAGACAAGGAGGACGGTGGCAGAGGAGCCAGGGTATGGTGGCTTGGAGCTCCCAGAGATGTGAGTCAGATACACAGCAGGGGACTTGTATGTTGCCCTTGGGTGAGGGAGCTCTGAGCAGAACAGCCTCATGCAGCACGCTGGGGCTGCCCTTTGCTTCAGAGAGACACTGAGAGCAGAATTACTGCTGATATGAAGCTCAGAAGTTTCCCGCTGTCGGTCACACTGATGCAGACACAAACATATTGATATCACTTGCAAATTCAACACTGCACATAAGTGAAATTAAACATGTCCTTATTAGGAGCGTCTCCTTTAAACAACACACATCTTTATTTTTAATGAACTGGAATATGGGAAACTATTTTCATGCTACCAAGAGAGTGTACCAATCAGTGGTAATTAACAAAGAATGAAGGAAACCAAAGTGTACTACCAAACAGTAGCTTTAGTTCTATTTCTTTTCAGAGAATCCAGTGTTCAGGCACTTTAAAAAGATTTCTCAGGATAGGTTCACTGTTATCCAAGAGTTTTTCAGCGCTGACGCAACACAACTGTTATCATCGTTAGGACTCAGGGGACTGTTCTTTTTGACAGGGCCTTTCAAGAAGTCAACAAATCAGTTTAAAACAAGCCATAAATTATATTTGGCTGCCCATCAGCTTGGCCGGAGTGTTCTCTCAGTGTTGGCGTAAGTGCTGGGGAAAGAATAGAACAACACAGTACAATATTTAGCTTTTAGGGGATATTTTGTTCCTAATTTAAAAACAAAGCATCCCTCTAGCATTGACTCTGATGCATAAACATATGTTAGAACAGCAATCAAGATGTCCAGAGGCTTTCTTACAAATAAATACACCCGTTCTGGATCCTAAGTAATAGCTTAATAAATAATGGATTTGGTACAGGTCTCCACCGCGAATGCTGCCACTCATTGCTAAATTAGGGAACTGTCAGCAAGATCATCTCCCCAGTCTTGCCTCCTGTAACTGTATGTGGAGAGAGACATGATTCCTGATAGACAGGATCCAAGCCTTCTATAGCTCTCCAGATTATTATTAACATCCTGAATTGCAGCCAGAACACGCCGAAAAGACAATACTGTCTACTTACAGCCTGCTGAGTTAGCAGTACAGCTTCAGCCAGTGCAGCCAAACAAGTAATCACACGCAGACGTCACTACTCTTGGAAGTATTCAGTTCCTTGTTTTATACAGCTTTTCCCATCAGTGTCCAATCCGGGGTGTTGCACAGAGGCATTAAGGCACCCCCATAAATACCCTTGGAGTTAGAGGTCAGGGTAGGGAGGGTGCCTGTGGGAAGACCATCAGTACAGGGAAGTGGGCACATGATATGAAGAAAGAAAAACAATGAAACCTCTGGGGACTTTCTCCATCATGGACATGTGTCCTTGGGAATAGGGAAAGGCTCCCTGCCCTTTAGAGCCTCCCTGAAACCTACCAGCAGCACTTGCATTTTTGTCTCAATTATTGTTGGTTTCTGCTCCTTTTCCAGGGCTTGGTTTTGTCTTGGGAAAAAAGATTTCACAAAAGAGGGACTGAG